GACAAACAACTACTAACTCTTTTTTTTTTGAGATGGAGTTTCGCTCTTGTTTCCCAGGCTGGAGCGCAATGGCAAGATCTCAGCTCACCGCAACCTCCGCCTCCTGGGTTCAGGCAATTCTCCTGCCTCAGCCTCCTGAGTAGCTGGGATTACAGACACGCCCCACCATGCCCAGCTAATTTTTTGTATTTTTAGCAGAGTCGGGGTTTCACCATGTTGACCAGGATGGTCTCGATATCTTGACCTAATGATCCACCCTCCTTGGCCTCCCAAAGTGCTGGGATTACAGGTGTGAGCCACCGTGCCCAGCCCACAACTACTAACTCTTTTTTGAGAAAATATATAAAAAATTCTTCAGAGGGGCTGGGTGCAGTAGCTCACGCCTGTAATCCTAGCACTTTGAGAGGCCAAGGTGGGTGTATCATGAGATCAGGAGTTCAAGACCAGCCTGGCCAACACAGTGAAACCCTTTCTACTAAAAATACAAAAATTAGCCAGGCATGGTTGCAGGAGCCTGTAATCCCAGCTACTCCAGAAGCTGAGGTAGAGAATTGCTTGAACCTGGGAGACAGAGGCCACAGTGAGCTGAGATCGCACCACTGCACTCCAGCCAGGGTGACAGAGTGAGACTCCATCTAAAAAAAAAAAATTCTTCAGAGAAAAAATGAAACATAGGACTAGGACTACTGATGAATTTAGAAGAAACAAATAATACATAGATTTATTTTAATGTTTATTCCATTTCATTTTACACCTAAAATAACAATCCTAAGAAGTTGAATATAAATATCCTCTGATGAAGCTTTAAAACCAAAAAGATAATAAATGAACTTCCTAGGAATTTAGACAAGCTAGATGCTTTCAATTGAGGTTAGTATGACATATATCTAAGGATGGGATGCTTGAAAATCTCCAAATAGGCCAGGTGCTGTAGCTCACATCTGATTTCCCAACACTTTGGGAGGCTGAGGTGGGAGGATGGCTTGTGCTTAGGAGACCAGCCTAGGCAACCTAACTAAACTCTGTCTTCGTCTCAAGGCTGCAATGAGCTGTGACTGCAACTGCACTCCAGCCTGGGCAATACAGCGAGACTCTGTCCCACAGAGAAAGAAAAAAGAAAATATTCAAAATAAAATAATAATAAAATTACATATTAGAACTTTGAATTAACAGTCTGGGGAGATTTCAGACTTGCCAAAAATCTTAAAACAATTATCTCTTTTAAAAGAGCACAAGGGAGAGTAGACTTAAAACTCAATATAAAAATACAGACCAATTATTTTCACTTCCAGAAAGACTGTGAAGTCACATAAAATTCAACTCATAATTAATTAAAAATCATACAGGGCTGGCCGGGCGCGGTGGCTCACACCTATAATCCCAGCACTTTGGGAGGCCGAGGCAGGCAGATCACCTGAAGTTGGGAGTTCAAGACCAACCTGATCAACATGGAGAAACTCCATCTCATCTAAAAATACAAAATCAGCTGGGTGTGATGGCATATGTCTGTAATCCCAGCTACTCGGGAGGCTGAGGCAGGAGAATTGCTTGAACCCAGACTAGGTGGAGGTTACAATGACCCAAGATCATGCCATTGCACTCCAGCCTAGGAAACAAGAGCGAAAATCCATCTCAAAACAAAACAAAATCAAATCATACTAAACTAATTATCAGTGGGAAAAAAAACAAAATAAAGTACTAACTAGCATATATTACAAATTTGCCAGATGCTTTATTTCCAGCACTAACATTATTTCTAGCACTATAGCTAATTGCCTTTTAGTAAAATAAGCAATCCATCAGTTAACAGAAAAGATAGTTTTCTTTTCTTTTTTTTTTTTTTTCTTTTTTTGAGGAAGGCAGAAAGGGAGGAAGGAAGGGATGAAGGAAGGAAGGGAGGAAGCGGGGAGGGAGGGAGGGAGGGAGGGAAGGGAAGGAAGGAAAGCAATGAGAGAAACATTGCTGACCTGGATCTAGAGGCTTACAAGTTGATTTCTTTTTTTTTTTTTTTTTTTTGAGAGAAGGAAAGAAAAAAAAAAGAGTAAAGGAGAGGAAGAAAGAGGAAGAGAAAGAGGGAGGGTGAACGGAAATATTGCTTTATTCTGAAAAAAAACGGGTATTAATAATGGCCAATCAATGTTTCATTTAAATCTATGAGTACGTGTGATGTGGTATTGACAAGAATGTATATTTTGTCTATTTGAAGTGGAGAGCTCTATAAATATTTAAGTTTACTTGCTCCGGATCTGAGTTTGAGTCCTTGATATCCTTATTAATTTTCTGTCTCATTGAATCTAAGTCTCTATGTATCTGGGTGTTAGGATCGTTAGCTCTTGTTGTTACATTGATCCTTTTACCACTATATCTTTGTTGCTTTAAAATCTGTTTTATCCGATACGAGAATTGCAACTCCTGCTTCTTATTTATTTATTCATTTATTTTTGCTCTCCATTTGGTTGGTAAATCTTTCTCCATCCCTTCGTTTTGAGTCTTTGTGTACCCTTGCATGTGAAACAGATCTGGATGTAACAAGCCGTTGGGTTTCGGCTGTGTCTTTTGATTGGGGGATTTAGTCGATTTAAATTTAGAGTTACTGCCATTTGATGTTAACTGGCTATTTGATCCATTTGTTGATGTAAATTCTTCTTTATGTTGGTGCTCTTTACTTTTTGGTATATTTTTAGTAAGGCTAATACTGGTTGTTTCTTTCTGTGTGTAATGCTTCTTTCAGAAGCTCTTGTAAAGCAGGCCTGGTGGTAATAAAATCTCTGAGTACTTGCTTGTTCATAAAAGATTTTATTTTTCCTTCAGTTGTGAAGCTTAGTTTGGCTGGATATGGAATTCTGGGCTGAAGGTTCTGTTCTTTGAGGATGTTGAATATTGGCCCCCACTCTCTTCTGGCTTGTAGAGTTTCTGCTGAGAGATCTGCTGTAAGTCTGATAGGCTTGCCTTTGTGGGTAACCTGACATTTCTCTCTGGCTGCCCGTAGTATTTTCTCCTTCGTTTCAACCCTGGTGAATCTAACGATTATGTGCCTTGGGGTTGCTCTTCTTGAGGAATATCTTTGTGGTGTTCTCTGTATTACCTGGGATTGAATATTGACCTGCTTTGCTAGTTTAGGAAAATTTTCCTGAATAATATCCTGAAGGGTATTTTCCAGCTTGGATTCATTCTCTCCGCCGCATTCAGGTACACCTATCAAACGTAAATTTGGTCTTTTCACATAGTCCCACATTTCTTGGAGACTTTGCTCATTTTTTTTATCCTTTTTTCTCAAATCTTGTCTTCTTGTTTTATTTCATTAAGTTGGACTTTGACCTCTGATATCCTTTCTTCTGCTTAAACAATTCGAGTGTTTAAATCTGTGCATACTTCTCGGAGTTCCTGTATTGTATTCTTCAGTTCCATTAATTCACTTATATTCCTCTCTAAGTTGTCTATTCTCAATAGGATTTCAGGAAAGATAGTTTTCTAAAAGGTTTCTGTACATCAGCTTCTAATCAGCTGCTTAAAAACCAAAATTCTTGAAGTCATCCTTGATATCTCTTTCTTTCCATGCCCAAACAATATATAAGTCCTATGAGTTCTGTCTCAAAAAAACACACACAAAAAATGAATATCTAATCCATCCATCTCACCCTTATTGCAACCACCATCATGCAGGCCACCACTATCTTACCTCAGCTCCTAAAAGCCAGCCTTCACTTTCATTTCAACCAGTCCATGTCTCACAAAGTAGGTAAAATGATATAAAATGCAAACTTCGGGCCAAAACCTTCAAAGCCCTAAATATTTTTATAACCTCTTCCTACCCACATATGCCCCTTTTACTGCGTCAACAGCACTGGTATTTTTTGGTCCCTCAAATTCACCAAGCTCTTTCGTCATTCAGGGTCTCTGCACACAGTATTCCTTCTAATGAGAATGCTCTTCCAATCAAAAACAACTCCCTTCCCCTGCCCCAACACACATACACTACTCACTCTTTAAATAGTTCCTTCTCATACAATAGGTCTCATCTTAAATATCAATCCCTCAGAGGAGCCTTATATGAACCTATCTAAAGTAGATTCCATTCCCTCATTTCCAAATTATCTGTTTTTGTGCTTTCCTTAAAAAATTATAGTGTAATTCATAATTGTTTTGTCAACTTATTATTTTTTTTTTGAGACGGAGTTTCGCTCTTGTTACCCAGGCTAGAGTGCAATGGCGTGATCTCGGCTCACCGCAACCTCCACCTCCTGGGTTCAGGCAATTCTCCTGCCTCAGCCTGCTGAGCAGCTGAGATTACAGGCACGTGCCACCATGCCCAGCTAATTTTTTGTATTTTTAGTAGAGACGGGGTTTCACCATGTTGACCAGGATGGTCTCGATCTCTTGACCTCGTGATCCACCTGCCTCGGCCTCCCACAGGCTTGAGCCACTGCGCCCAGCCTGTCAATGTATTTTTTAACCTGTCCCCTCCCCGCAGAACGTAAGAGTGAAAATAAGGATGAAACATCCAGCATATTCATTATTATATTCACTGAAGCACCACATTGTACGATACTTAGAAGAATAGCAATGCACCTCGAATGAATTAATGAAACAGTCAATGAATATGTGACTAGACAATGAGGTTAATAATGCTATTAATGCAAATACAGAAACCAGAACAAAGTGCAAGTATTTGAGAAGAAAAATATGATATGTTCAGTTTGGTGCCAAGTGGTAAAACATAGGACTGGTGGGCACACAGGTTGAGGAAGAGATATAGATTGGGGTTCTGCTAATTATAAGTGTTAGCTAAGAAAAATAATTATGTCACAAATGAGATAAAATTACTGAGATAAATGACAAGCAAAAAATAAATAAACACAAATACAAAATGATCATAGCCTACAAGGACAGGAAAATAATCTAACATAAAGAATACTACAAAATCAAGACAAGTCATAATTTCAGAGACCCAAAATAAAAAATGTTTTAGTAACGTACTAAGAAGAGTAAAGTAATCCTACCTTACTACTGTTCATTGCTGGTCATGCCTTAGGTAAAGTAGCGACTCCATGTTGAGATGTCACACATTAGGGACGAAGAAGACACTTGAGAAAACGTCCGGTGAAGTCTAGTTAAAATGATCATAGGTCTAGCCAAAAAACATGAGCTGCAAGAAGAAATTCAAGAAGTCAGAACTGTTCACTACAGATAAAGAGATAAAAATGTACACTTTCGGTATACTTGGCTATTCCTGAAAATGAACTGTGGCAGCTTATAACAATTGCTACGTTAAGAACGCTACACGTACTTATCTATCCATCGCTTACTCCCTCCCCTATCTTTCTCTAACTTTCCAAAAGAGTAATGTATTTTTACCTTCTCCTCCAATCTATTCCCTCAATTTTCAAGAGATAATTCATGTTTTTCTCCATTTTTACATCATAAAACTAACTTCAGGTTTGAAACACACCAGGCACAGTGGCTCTCATCTGTAATCCCAACACTTTGGGAGGCCAAAGTGGGAGGACAGCCTGAGTCAAGGAGTTCAAGTCCAGCCTGGGCAATATACTGAAACCCAGTCTCTACAAAAAGTTTAAAAATTAGTTATGCATGGTGGCACACACCTGTAGTCCCAGCTATCTGGGAAGATGAGGTGGGAAGATTACTTGAGCCAAGGAGGTTGAGGCTGCAGTGAGCCATGATCACACCACTGCACTTCAGCTTGGGTGACAGATCAAGACACTGTCTCAAACACCAGTTTGAAAGGCATCAGAAGAAGCCAGTGATTATGCTCATTAAAATATTATTACAGGCTAAACTAGTAATTTAGTACATAAGAAAAACTTTTTCAAAGGCTGGGGAAGGTTGGGGAAGGATCCCCCCAGCAAACACAAACTTTTTTTCTGCCTCATATGCTTTGGTTGGTTGTTTGTTTGTTTGAGATGGCATCTCACCGTGTCGCCCAGGCTGGAGTGCTATGGCATGATCTCGACCCACTGCAGCCTCTGCCTCCGAGGTTCAAGTGATTTATTGTGTTTCAGCCTCCCAAACAGCTGGGATTATAGGCATGTGCCACCAGCTGATTTTTGTATTTTTAGTACAAACAGGATTTTACCATGTTAGCCAGGCTGGTCTTCAACTCCTGACCTCAGGTGATCAGCCCGCCTCAGCCTCCCAAAGTGCTAAGATTACAGGTGTGAGCCACTGCATCTGGCCTCTGCCTCATATGCTTTAGTATGCCAAAGTATGACCCTTGAATTAACTATTCTCCCCTCAGTCCTTAAAAACTGTGAACTCGGCCAGGCACGGTGGCTCAAGCCTGTAATCCCAGCACTTAGGGAGGCCGAGGCAGGTGGATCACGAGGTCAAGATATCGAGACCATCCTGGTCAACATGATGAAACCCCGTCTCTACTAAAGATACAAAAAATTAGCTGGGCACGGTGGCGCGTGCCTGTAATCCCAGCTACTCAGGAGGCTGAGGCAGGAGAATTGCCTGAACCCAGGAGGCGGAGGTTGCGGTGAGCCGAGATCACGCCATTGCACTCCAGCCTGGGTAACAAGAGCGAAACTCCGTCTCAAAAAAAAAAAAAAAAAACTGTGAACTCTTCTGAGAGGTTTTTTGGTCACTGACTCTCTCCTTTATCACTGATGTCAATATATGCAGTTTATAGCCCTGTACAACTTCTCACTTTTTGCTTGTATCCTCCTATTTTTAATCCCAACTTCCTGGTTTATCATAAGCTCTCCCCTTCTTCCAAGCTCTTTTTTTTGTTGTTTGCCTATTCTGTTTCCCGTCATTTCCCCTACTTCCTTGGCTTTCACGTGAATCAGATGACATTCCATAAATGTTACCAACAAGATTACTCCTTTCCTTCTGGTCAGGAAACAGATCAAACACAGTAAGTCAGGCATATTCTCCAAGTCTACTTTTCTAATATTTTAACCATTTCCAAAGGGTGCCTTTGTCCCCAGGAAAGCATTTTATTCCCTTCTAGATATAGCAAAGCTCCTAAAACTAGAATTGGTTGGAAATCTAAAGTGTTAATATATTTCTCTTCTTCCACAAAACTGTGACATGATTGAGACAGAAATTTCCTTATCTTAATATAGCAGCTTGCACAGTACCTGGAACACAGTAGCCATCAAACAAGTGACTACCAAATGAATGAAATTCCAAAATGAATTATGATTTCCTCTGATTTGTACACTTTGGTGTAAAGTTAGGCTTCAACAAGAGTTGTTATATAAAATGATAAAATTCATGACAATATTATTTTTAAATATAAAAATTTTAATGATGGCCAGGTAAGGTGGCTCATACCAGTAACCTCAGCACTTTGGGAGGCCAAGGCAGGAGGATCACTTGAGTCTAGGAGTTCCAAATCCTCCTGAATAGCATATTGAGAGCTCATCTCTACAAAAAAAAAAAACAAAAATTATGGCATGGTGGCATGTACCCAGAGTCCCTGCTACTTGAGAAGTTAAGGTGGGAGGATCACCTGAGGCCAGAAAGTTGAGGCTGCAGTGAACAATGAGTGTGCCACTGCACTCCAGCCTAGGCAAAAGAGTGAGACCCTGTCTTAAAAAAAAGAAAATAAATTCAGTCATGACTTCACTTTTATACTGCTTTCAATATATCATCTTTAATTAAACCCCCAGGATATAGTTCAGTAAACAGTATTACTCATACAGCTTTCTGAGGAACAAAACACTATATGTCAAATTCTACTCCAAAGACAAACCCAAAAATCACTGGATCATCCAATTTGTATTAAAAATGTTTAAACTCTCTATCAGCAAAGATAGTTGCATTATTTAGAATTCCCTGTTCTGGTCTCTCACTTTGCAATGGAAATAGTTATTTTCACAGACCTAAGTTAAAGAAAAACAATCATTCAACTGAGATTCCATTCCTAATATTGAGCAGTGTCAAGTTTCTTGCTCAGGAAAGCTAGTCAATGGTAGTCCCAGCTATTCAGGAAGCTAAGACAGAAGGATCAGTTGAGCCCAGGAGGTCAAGGCTACAGTGAGCTGTGATAGCACTACTGTACTCCAGCCTGGGTAAGAGAGCAATACCCTGTCAAAAAGAAAAGAAAAGAAAAGGAAAGAAAAGAAAAGAAAGAAAGAAAGAAAGAAAGCAAAGCAAAGAGAAAAGAAAGCCAGCTAGTTTACCCATGTATTATGCCTCAATCTCCAACTCAGTCTTTTCCGTAATTTTTATTTTTCAATTAAATAAGAAGCATTTTTCTTTGATATTGAAATGATGTGGGTTAAAAGTAACAACTTTTTTGGTGGCATCTCTAAATGGAACTTTTTTTAAAAATCAAACTACTATAAACCCATGAATCAAAAAAATTATATTCCTTGTGTTACTTCAAAGGTATTATCATGCTTACTAGACTCAGCAAAGGTTTCCACATAACAGTTGAAAATGCATAATTACTACTTTCTAGTGTACCTTAATCTTCCCCCGCCAACTTCCTCAGTTACACATACTATCATCTCTAACTCACATTCATAGTCAAAAAGCAGTTCCTATTCCTTAAAATATGCTTCTCTTCACAAATGGGACTAGGGTGACGCAAGAGAAATACCTGGGGTGCAAAATTTAAGGAGATATTCTCAGGATCATGCAAGTGCCACCCTGCAGCTGCATGACCCTAAAAGTGATTATGTCTCACATTTTGTGTCCTTAGGCAATTCTGTTGTTGCCTTACCCTAGTCCTGGATCTACTTCTCTTTCCCATCTCTACTCTCCCCACTTCTCTAATAAATATCCCCTTAGTTTTTCAAAACCCAATTTTGATAAACCAAATATCTATTTTAAACAATAAATTTAAGTATAATTTCACAACAATTTAAAATTAGGTTTTCAAAGAAAATTTCTTATTCATGATATGTGGTAGGTGAAAAAAAGATGAAGTAGTTATACTTATATATGGTAAGAATCTATTTTTTTAAATGTGAGTTGTATGTGCATGTAAGTAACAGCCCTGTGTTGGTTTTTTATTCTGAAGCATCTATCTCCCTTTCTTTTGGTAGCAGCATCTTAATTTTCTTTTCCCAAACTATCCTCTTATCATCAACTCACATGGTTTGGGTCGCATTAATCACTAGCATTCTAATATTTCTGGGATAGAAACAAAACCCAGGTCTAGGAAATGAGCATATTCCTTCTCACAAGCAGTAGTTCAGGAATAGGTACATTACCTAAATTGGACAGATAATACTGAACGTCAACATTTTTTGCAGAAGCTAATCAGGAAGGAAAGATATCTTTCAGCCAAGGTTGCTAAACTAAAAGACGATAAGTACCTACTGGACAATCAAGCAACCTAAACAAAGAACCAAGAGAAGAGAAATAGAGAAATGTCTGAAAATATTTTGTCCCTAAATTTGAGTTCAGATGTAAATAGATGTTAACTGCTGAAATTCAAAATTACTGCAGGGAAACAATTCACTCTGCATTTCTTATGTTCCTGCACAGAATCTTCTGAGAAAAATGTACTACAAATGGGTATTTGCATAACAGACAGTCTTGGAAGCTAGAGATAGTATCTCCCTAAAGATAGAAACCTCCAAAAAGCTTTGGAGAAATTAAGCCCTCTCCCTTCCCTCCCTGGAAGCATTTACTTATATTCTAGGGTAAGAAACCTAAAGATACCTTCTCCCTCACCTCTGGAAGAGATGTGCTTAATGAGTAATCTCTCTCGCTCTGCAGGGGAGGATGACAGATGTGCCAACACCCTATACAAGCTTGGAGTCTCCTAATTTCAAGGTTCCTCTCCTGTGATGCAAATCTGCTGCATGTGTGGGTAGATGTCTCACCTGCATCACATTGCTCTGTCACAGGGATGCAGCAGGGAGAACCAGCACTAAGATATTTCTCTGGCAACTGCTTTTGCTGTAATAAACTGTCTGAGTCTCTGACCCAGGCTCTTCTATTAATGTCATGTATATAAAAGTATGGCAAGGTAACTTGCTTGTTTGCAAGCAGGGTATTCTCAGTCCCATCAGAGTTAATGGTCACCTAAGGCAAAACATTATTTTTTTTAATGTCTTAATTAACTCGGAGTTTCAGAGTTAATGGCCACTTAAGGTGACACATTATATTTTGTTAATTTGTTCAACAAATACTTGCTGAAAGCCTACTAAGCTATCTGTG